GCCAGATGGGACGACTTGAATGCTCTCTGCTTCGGTATGTGGTCCCAGGGCAGTGGGCCATCCGCAGCGAAGTTGCTCAGATTTAGCGCGGTCAAAACTAAGGGACCACCGTCATTCGCAGGCCTTCATACAAGGGAGGATGCATCTCACCATAAAGTACGACAACCTCATGTGTAGCATCTACATACAAGCTCTGGTCGAGTGGGAAGGTGGTGGGATTATCGTCCAATGTCGCATTTGTAGAAGAATTATGCACGGCAATGGGTGTGTGCGTCAACCGAGCGACGAGTTCCTGTATGTAGCCAATGCCTTCCACGCGAGCAACAGGGGAACCGAATGCTGAATCGTACCAGAAGTACAGGTCCAGCCTGGTCAGAAAAACAAATGTCAGATTCAACGATGCTTCAACAATAACCCATTACTAACGCGTAGTCAAAGCCTTTCCATTCTTCTTCTGTAAACAGCTCACAAAACTGCGAATAGCCGATAGCAACGGTCTACGTCGTGTGTTTGGTTAGTATTATGGACGTATGATATACTTAACATGACCTGCCTCATAGGCGCACAACTGTTGTAATGTGTACACGTCCTCGATGGAAAGGTCGTGACCTTTCAGCTGCGGTGCCAGACGTGCTTGCGCATCCTTGAGATATATATTCGCCCACTTACGGACGTACCAAACACCGCGGTCCGCTTTTGCCCTGTCATTTGAGTTAGGGCAACTAGTGGACAACGCGATCAGAACTGAATAGAGCGTTAAGTGAGTTACACTAATCCTTACGTCTTGTACGGTGCCAGGGTGTTGTTGAACTAGGATGGGTCGGTAAGACTTGTCAGGTTGATGAGTTGAAACGCAAATGACATACGCCGTTCGCCTCAATTGTAATGCTCTGCTGATAGAGTCCGTCATAGGGTATACCAAAGAAGCCAGCAGCAAAATTCAGAGCCGATGCCAGCATGCGATCCCTGTATAGCATGAGATATTGACCTCTGATTGACTTCAAAGCAAGCTTACTGAGACTCTGTGCGGAAAACAGGAAGCGTGTTAGACTGCGAGAAATTCTTGAGAAGGAATCCGTATTTAATGCGAGTTGCAACCCCAAGATCAACTACCGAGAAATATGAACATGCGTCCACGAAACAGCCAGGGATAAACTCACAGAGCTGTTGACGGCCAAAGGGTGTAAGGACTACGCATTGAAGATTAGCGAACGGGCTGAGCAGGAGCTGCGGGACATGCTTCACCTTCTTCGCCCAATTTATACGTCCTGTCGAAAGTACGCTGAGTTCTTTCATGCCATGCGATACAGAGTTCAACTCACCATTCGTTCAAGAATCCAAGCTCTCCCGTTGCATTCCAGCCGGCAGCAGCTTGATTGAGACGCGCGGAGAAGTTGGCAGGGCCACCGTAAGAAGCTAAGAGCGCGGATAAGAAAACAAGAAGGAGACGTAGATAGCGACACGCGTACCATACTGGGTCGGATATCTCGCACCATGACGGTGCAAGAGATGCAAACCAGTGACCTGACATGTCTCTGGTGTTTCCGGACTTGAGTCCAGCCCAAACGCGCCACGAGGCACGCTAAACCATGGCGAGAGATTTCCCCAGTGTCTGAATAGATCGAACTCCTCTGAAGTGTTCTTCTTCTGCGTCGCAAAGGGAGAAACAAGATGTGGTGCCCCGGTGTGCACAGGGTACGAAGGGGCGGTTTCGATGAGTGCTGGCTCGGCTCCAGTGGGAGTTGGGCCTGCATGGCCAACGTTGGTCGGGAATAGTGAAGGGAAGTAATTGGTAGGGGAGGCGGGTGGGAAGTTGTGCACCTCGGAAGAGCCAGCATAAGGTGGGGCGAAGACTTGTGCAGCGCCGCGACTTGGAGGTGCTGAATTGTGCTGCGATTCTGGTTGCACATAGCACCACAGAAGTTGTGCGAGGAGACAGACGGCGATGCCACTCAGAAACGAGGTGACGAGGAATATCACCTGGCGCCGTTTTGCTCTTGCATGTTCACCAGAGAGCAGCTGCTCTGCCAGCGGGACAGGTTGCTCATATTGCGGAAGGAGAGCTTCGTGTTCCTCGTCCTCGCGCAGATGAGATTCGGACTTGTATGCAGAGGAGGATTCGAGGACCTTAAAGTGCTCGCGACTGCCTGCCATTGCGAAGTCGACGATGGGCGGTCGCTGTGATGCGCGACCTCACGATTACAGCCACCTCCAGCGTTTCGCATTGCACGTGCATCTCCGACCCGGCTCGCACACAGCGCAGAAACAACGCAGGCACCTTTTGCAACATAATCTCGCAGGACCATCACTGGTATATCTGAACTATCACCCGCTCTTCTAGAAAACATACGGAGATTGTTTTGACAGGCAAGTGGCTGATCTTCAGTACACAACGGCGTCTCGTTTAATCATGTGCAGCAAAGAGCTACGGCCAGTTCTGGTACTAGGAATGACCTAAGTGAAACATCCAAGTGCACAGACAATGCCCAGCATGTTACCAATACCCTGGAAACAGCGGCTGGCAGAGCATAGGGTTTTGCTTCGCCAGCTATGTGTCTCCCAGCCCAGACATACAGTACGTCGTTGGATGGAGCGGCAAGCAGGCAGCGAAAACCAGACATCGTCAGATGCAAGACATGAACTCTCATTCGGAATGCCCACACAACACGTGTAAGAATTGAGCGTTCTTTTCATCTACTTGTTAGAAGCAGCAGTCCCTATTCAAACATTATTATCGTATATGGACAAGTATCATCAACTACAGCGTCCGTCCATTCCATATTAACAGTGAGCGCAAGCAGCGCGCGGCCGGATTGGCCAATGTATGCAGTATAATATAATACATATCGTCCATGGTCGATTCTGGTGCTCCAAAGCCGCATGATGAATGGTTCAATCGACCACTCGTGTAGACCCAGCTCAGCAACAGCATGGCAAGGGAATCACGAAGCAGCACCCGCCGTCCTGGATAAACGCGGACAATGAGATGCGCGCACGATGCTGACAGTGGCGGAATACGCACCGGGCAAGGGATACAACCTCCTCTTATTCTCTCTGCACGTTGTTCCTCCGCTTGTGCTTCTCCAGCACGCCCAACCGACATAGTCTGAGTTGGAGTAGGTTGCACGGCATGGGCCCGGTCGAGGCGTGTAGAAGCCATGTGTACTGAAGGTGGGTAAGAGACCTGGCTGCTCTCAGGGGACATGGCGATGGTTGTCTGGCGGATAGCTGAAGATTGGCAAGCTCTGGTGAGAATACTCCTGAGAGGGAAGACACCGCACATCAGCCCCGGATTTCCTGAGTCGGTATTCAATAGGTAAACCACATACCATGTAAATACCCTACACATACCATAGCAGCCTAATACCAGTCGAATACCATGCAAATTGATGGTATTGCGAAGACACAGGTTCGAATCGCGTCTGTGTCATTAGATCAGTAATCATTTTTTTGCCTTTCATTTTCGTAACAACGCTTTTCCCTTGCATAGGCGCCAGACGTTCCTATCTACGGATCATTACTGGGTAAGTAAATACTTGTTATCGCTTTTGTTACCTGCTAACAGACTTGAAAAGGCGCTGGGCATGACGTCGGAGTTAGAAACAACTTGGCGTTTCGCCATCATCCTCATATCTCAAAACTCAGCGACGTCCACATATGTTCCCTATATGCACGTATATGGACGTAAGATAATGAAGAGTGTACTGAGACAGTAGCATTCAAGATTGTCTGTAAGTCCATCCGTTCATCTGTCCGTCTATCATGTGTCTAGCAGAAGTCTACCTGGAGGGTATCAGCAAGGACTCAAGTACCTTGCCTCGGTTCATGAGGTGAGACACAATTGTTGGCCATGTAGCTCTACAGGTTTAGCTGGATTACACAGGTCTACAAATTCATCAAGCCGAGGCCGAGTAGACTGAGCTGCAGCGTTGTTGTCCGGCTTGCATTGTACGTCACCTGTTATGCTCTCCTGGTTCACCGCCCACTCATGTGTGCACCAAACTACAGCTGATTCACTGGTACTTCTAGAACATACATCAGGTGAGTAATAATAACACATCCCCGCGTATATAGCCGCGACTCACCGCCACCCGCATGGACATCAAGATAAGATCCAGAACGTGCGGCGCACACTTGAGGATAGCGCACTGCATATCCAGCCCGCAAATGCTAAGCACGTGCGGTACTTCAGCGCGATCCGCAGGCAGCTCGGCCTCGTCAGGGCGTACTCGGCATACAATGCGCCGGAGTGTCTTCGTGTCATGCAGCGGACATGCGGATGCTGTCCGTGGAGGTAGTACCAGTTTGATTTGTAGCATACAACCTGTACTCAGTACAGATTAACAATTATAATATTTTTATTGGCCCAAATGACCGCATCAGCTTATATTAGTATCAGGGCAATACGAGGATTCGAACCCGCCGCCTGAACGGGCGCCTAATGTGAGTATTCGAGTGGTACTCGATGGGAATTCGCCCATTCTGATATTGTTCCCTACAGATACCCTACGCCAGTACAACCCAAGTATGCGTGTGGTATTGTGGATACCACGCGCATACCGAGTCAGGGAATTTGGATCGATGTGCGGTGAGAGGCAATGCACAGTTTATATACTAATAGAACTGTTCCAGCGGTTGAGGCAGTGCCACTTACATGACGTCAGGACATCCTATTAGTTAGCGCTTGTGACTCTCTGTCTGCTGACCACTTTAAAGATCTTGTACATACATGTCCAGTCGATATCGATGCTTCGTGAAACCCTATGAAATTCAACCATCAGCCTGTGACATGCACACAAAACTACAATGGCCATGTGCTGACACATTTAGCAATGTTGAAATGAGTATGCCCAAAAATTTGTTACTATGAGTTGCTTAACGAGTACTATCTCAACGAAGTGAATTGGTTCTCGATGGAAAAAAAAAAAAAAAGTGCATCCATGGGTGAAATGGCCTTGTAGGATGAAAAAAAAAACTGTTGAGCAGGGGAAAAAAAAAAAGGGCTCAATCGGGGATTGAACCCGAGACCTCCTGCAATGAATGCTGTAAAGTAAATGCCCAAAGCAGGAATCATACCACTAGACCATTGAGCCATACCAGTACTTCTGGTTTAGACATACATCAACATATTACGAACGTTTATGAGCAACTACTCAGCGGGCGCGCGCTCATACATCACTCATTTCTGCAAGCCTCGCCCGCTGAGATGTGTGGGCGCCTATCGTTATTTCGCAGGCGAAAGCATACTTGCGTGTTGTGTTTGGTTCCTATTGTAGGGTCAATAATTCTGGGAGAAGTGGGAGGGGTGAGGGTGTGCTGCAGTCCCGGCATACCTGAGGACTTTTTTCTAGGCGCCTTAGAGGAAATTGTAACAAATGAATATTGAACCGGAAAAATATCATACACAAATGTAATGAGTCAAAACATAGACACGAGCCTAAATTATGTACCATTGCTAAGAACAGGTAGGAAAAAAAGCCCTTCTCTGCATACGTGATGAGTGATGTATGAGCGCACGCCCAAGTTCACCAGACGTCCTGGTATCCTTCTTTGTCTCGTGTCTCGCTGTCTCCTGCCTCAAAAGGAAGGTTCACCGGGCCGTCTGGAACCGAGACTATCCATACTACTGTATATTGGTGAGCTGGTGTCTGGGCTCCTGGCTAAATGGCGAGCAGTGTTGAGTTGCAAGTTTGCGGCCTATCCCGAAGCGATGGCCCTTCTTCATAGACATTATTAATATTGAACGATTAAGATTATGGCTGCACAGTAGGGTATCCGGGCGCATACTCACGTCCTCAATCCATTGTATAGGGAAACTTAGGCGTGGAAGCGCAAGCAATCCACTTTGAGAGACATACTCTTCGAGGATGAAGATTATGCATGATCACTGGCTCACACCCAACGTACAATGCCACCGCTCCGAAAGCTTTTTGGTAGAGCGAATACGAGAGAAACAAGGCAATACATGGGACACAGCAGTCATGGTGAAAACATAGTATACTTCATACCGTACGTCTTCGCGTATCTTACGAACGGGCGGCTCCTGGGACGTTCCGTCGCGGTCCACGAGGGCCACGCTCGGGGACAGCGACGACAGGCTGAACAACATTGACTGTTACAGAGTCAAAGTTCAACGCGCGCAGAAGATCCTGTGTTACGCTCCTCAGATCTTCCATTCAATGTGCACAATATCCATTGGAGACGAACCTTGGTATCGGGGTCGACCTCAAGACCACTGACGCTTGTGTCAAGCGCAGACACTTCGGGCACATAGTTGTCCTTCCTCTCACGTTCTTCCTCCTGCAGCTTGAAGGAAATACCACGGACAGGACCCTTCTGGATACGCTTCATCAAGTGGGTCGTGAAACCAGCAATCTTGTTGCGCAGGCGTTTTGAAGGGACAACGGCCTAAGATTCTGGAGGTAAATCCAAAGTATGAACGCGTAAACATGTCAATAGAACGCACGACTTCATCGATGATACGCTTGTTTGTGTGGAAGTCGAGGGTAAGACGGGGGTAGCTAGGTAGATCATTAGCATCTCGACTTGAGACAATCTCCCTAACAGCTCGCCCAACACAAAATCCACCGAACAGTGTCGGGAAATTCATCCCTCTCCACATACCCATCCGACGATTCAATGCAGACACTTGCGAATACTCACTATTTCTCGATGAGCACACGGGAGGCCCTCTTCGTGGTCTTGGTACGTACACGACCCTACATAGCAAGGCAGGATCTTTTTGTTAATAACACACAGAGAATATAGAGCCATAGCTTCCGCATACCATATTGACTAAGTGAGTGTTGGCGGCGAGGGGGGCGTGCTTGACGTTGGGCTGCTCGAACTGGACGCTTGGCGCTGCAAGCGAATCCAAATCCGGCAAGTGCCGCCGTGGCTGGAACTGGTTCTGTACAGCTCATCAAGCCACATCCTTCCTAATACAGTATCCCATCAATTTCAAGCTTGGTCGAAGTTCAGTTTACCGGGTCCTTTGCCGTCGTTGTTGTCCCCGCCCACGCTCCCCAAGACTATCTCTCAAGGTGAATAGCACTTCTCTGTTATTATGCCTGTTCCGTGGAAGACGACACTTGACGAATTGATCATTTTGCGATAATGACACGCCTACCTGCGGCTGTGGAATCGTGAATATAGAGCTCGTCTTGACTCGCGCTTCCTGTAGCACGACACTCGGACGAGCGTAGGTACTTACATCACTCCTTTTCGGCCTTCGTTAGTCCGCCTTCAAGACTCCTCTGCTACCTCACCCCACCATGGTCCGCGTATCTGTCCTGGTGAGCACTCCGTCTATCTCTCCAACGCCATCACGATTACTCATTATGGTTTGCAGAACGACTGCCTTGTGAGTTGCCTCTGAAATTATAGCGAACTGTAGGGTCCTCAACCCATATCTAGAACAACATTGTCAATGCCGAGCGCAGTGGTAAACGTCAGGTCCTCATCAGACCCTCGTCCAAGGTCATTGTCAAATTCCTCAGCGTGATGCAGCGACACGGTACGTCTTGCAACTTTTGGCGGGCAATGTTCTGTTTCCCTCTTTTTTCTCCCCCGGTGGTGGTTGCAAGTTCGGAGTGATAACTACGTTGGCGAGGGTAGTTCCTCCACCTCCCCGTCGTTTTAACGCTCCGATATATCGAACTTCTCTCAAAACCATTTTAACGCATGTCCTGTACTTAGCCACGGATTTGAGTTCACTGTAGAGTTGACATCCTTATGCTTCCTTCCTGCGATTTATGTTTCCGCAAGCTGATCACCTGGATTTTCGCCTACAGGCTACATCGGCGAGTTCGAGATAGTTGACGACCATCGCTCGGGCAAGATCGTAGTGCAACTGAATGGTCGCTTGAACAAGACGGGTGTCATCTCTCCTCGCTACAACGTACAGGTCACCCAAATCGAGAACTGGGTCAACCTGTTGCTCCCTGCTCGTTCGTTCGGTATTATCATCCTGGTACGTCCTTATCCCCTTGAGGTGTCATTGCGTTGCTGATGACTTGCATGCTACAGACAACCTCTTCTGGCATCCTTGACCACGAGGAGGCCCGTCGCAAGAACGTTGGAGGAAAGCTGCTCGGTTATGTCTACTAGACGTTTTGTTATTCTGCCAGGGTCAGAAGCGTGCAGCCTCTGTGGCCTTGAGCTGTCTATATCTGTGTTTGAGTCATCGGCTGGCAGGTCGACAGTCGGATGCGCAGTTTAAAAAGACCCAAATAACACGAGATGTATTGAACGATGTTGTGCTTTTGCTGTGTATGTCGCTATGTGTCAGCTATGCTATGCAAGTTGTGTTGGGCATCCTCTGGAACGGAGGATCGCCAGCTGTTGGCCGGAAGCGACGTTGGCTTGTGTTAGGCAGTGTGCGTCTACGCGCGGCTGTGACTCGTGACGCTCGTGACGATTTAGTCCGTACTCGCCACTGCATAAAAGTGCTTTCGTCCAAGACGCTATCATTCTCCTCTGACCTCTTCTCCTCTCCAGCTGTTGGCCTTTGGCATGTACTCTCGAGCCTGAATTTTATTATCCTTGACGACATTGAAAACGACATTCAAGACCCGTGTAGCCGCTCAAACCACCAGATCGTCTACGCTCACGTCCTCCTCATGAGTTTGCCAGCTAGTGACGCCTTTTCATTATCACACGACCCAACACGCCCAAGTTTATCGAGCTCATTTCGAGCTACATCTCCCAAGATCCCCTTTGCCCAGTCTCGAGTGGCCTCGTTCTCCACTGTCAACCCTAGGAAGACTGTCCGGCCACGAACGGGAAGGGGCCGCTCGATGGGAGACCCGAATGGACACATTCCTGCGGCCAATCAGGACACCAGTGAGGTGTACGCCAACGACGAGGATCAGATGAAGCTCCGGTCGCGTTCGCTCTCTTCCCCCCATTCGCACAGGAGGAGACTCAGCAAACAGCACGGGCAGCTCAAGGCTGTACCCGTCCCCACCGTTGTAGCGCGCTCGAAGTCGCCCGTACAGCGCATAGATTGGGAGATACCTCGCAAAACGTTGCACTCTTCGATAGGTACGCTTGCTATCTTTTCCCGCGATCTCAGCCTCCTACGTCAATCTCCCAACTCATTGAACTGCGCGGCTCAATCTTCTTCCACCTTGGTTCGCTAATTGGGCGTTATGTCGCGTTGCAGGTTTTCTGACGCTTTACCTTTACTTCTCACATGGGTCCCCGCGGCCTGTGGTCGTCGCGCTCTCTGCTGCACTGGCCGTCATAGCACCCACTGATATCTTGCGCCTCAACTCCCCCGCGTTTGCACGGGTGTACGAGCGCTACCTTGGTTTCTTGATGCGAGAGAGTGAGAAGGTGTGGCTACTGCTATTGTGAATGTATGCAGCGTACTGACTTGCCAGCCCCGTACAATCTAGAAAACAACAAATGGAGTGATATGGTACATAATTGGGGTTATCTGGGTACTTACTTTGTACCCGTTGGACATCAGTGTCGTGTCAATTCTCATGTACGCCCAACAACATCTTGTTCGCATTTCACCACGTTGACGCTTTCATTTTAGTCTTTCATGGGCGGACACTGCTGCCTCTACCATTGGCCGCCTGTGGGGTCGCTACACTCCGCGCTTGCCGAGACATATTCTGGGTCTCCCGCTGGCCCCGCGGAAGTCGCTTGCAGGCTTTATTGCTGGCTCATTGACCGGTGCGGCCATCGCTGCGGGCTTCTGGGGTCTTTATAGCCGTTCAGGTATCATTGAGCCCATTTGGACTTGGGAAGATGGCGTTGTTGGCACATCCACAGGAACGGGGGCTGCGAAAACTGGCGTTCTTACGGGTTGGTTGGGTCTAGGGGTGATCAGCATCTTCACTGGAATTGTCAGTGGTATTTCGGAGGCTCTTGGTAAGTTAGCGTTTCAGCCTTCCGTGTTTACAGCAGTTCATTTATTCTTGCAGATGTGGGCTCGCTCGATGACAATCTGACGCTTCCTATCCTTTCTGGTGGTTGCCTCTTTGCATTTTTCCGCTGTTTGCAATATGTCTTCTCCTAGGCACTACCTCCATCCAACCACAACTTGTTGTGTTCTCGTCTTGTCATCGAGGACTTTATC